GTAGGGGAGAAATCCACTACAAGTAATACGGTATAAAATCAAGAGATTTTCAGGGAATTTTTTGAATATACATACGTACAGTATACAGTACAGGTATTTATGAAAATAAAAATAATGATGGACCATACAACTTTGCAATTTATAAATCTATTAATATTTCTAATTTTCATTAATTTTCATTTATGTATTTTATAAAGTTCGAGAAAAGAGCCCAAGCTATTAATACCAATACAGTACAGCGATACACACACCTCCCACATTTATTATCGTATGATCAGCCACTTATGGTGTATGTTTTATCATGGATAATATAAAATATTAAATGCCGTGCTTTAACATGTACAGGTATAGAAAAATTACGAAATATTGCAGCATGCTCCCGGGTCCTCTGTGTTGGAGGTTTGGGGAGGGGAAGGAACTGACTGCACACCCCCAAAAAGGTTCATGCCTCACCCCTACTCCTCATTAAGCCTGCCATTCCTATTGTAAAATGTTTTACTTTGTTTTTTTATTTATTTATTAATTAATAAATTATGTTTACTGTAATAATTTGTGCTTAATTGTTTAATATTTTATATTAACCATGATAAAACATACACCATAAGAGGCTCATCATTGGTAAAAAGGGGAGTGCCAGTCCCTGCCTCCCTCCAGCACAGTGTCTCACACAAAAGGCTATAAACTAGATGTTGTGTATGATGTGGTGTTGGGGTATTAATTAATGAATAATAAATAAATAATATTGTATTGTTGATGACAGTACAGTAGTTTGATGAATAATAGTGACAATTGTAGTACGCTACTATTCATCAAACGACCGTCATTGACGATACAATATTGCTTATTTATTAATTAATACCACAACATCACACCCAGACACCCTAACACCACCCACACACCCCCATATTGTATGACATATATTTATGCTTGGTTAACTACGTGGTGGTGAATTGAAAGATCAGCTGTTGAGGAGCTCAGCGCTTGGCAACACTGGTGCATGTTACCACTCCTTTCCACTCCATCTCTCTAATCACCCACACCTTTGTGCTTTCTCACTCCACAATTTAAAATCTTCTGTAACATAATGTTGAAGGGATTTAATGTGATAAATGTAAGGATAAAAAATGCGGTATTTTAGCTTTCATGTTTATTCAAGACATCTTCAGGTCCTCAGACCCACTAATCCCCCAACCGGCAATGGGTGACCTGACATTGTATCAGAAGGTCAGTAATATGAGACCACTAATACCACACCCTACCTCCACCTGGCATTGTGTCAGGTCAGGTCAGTTATAGGAGACCCACTAATACCCCACAGCTCCAAGGGAGTGGAAAATATCAGTCTGCTGTAACACACCGCTTCATTCACGACCATATCATATAGATTTTTAGTTTAAACTCTTGGAAAACTCCTCAGCACACAGAAACATTCTGTGGATGTGGGCTAGTGTTTGTCTGTACAAGATGCTTAGTTTAGACACTTGTAAAGTTTTTCCAGTAACCGGATATATTTCCGGGGTTGGGGGATTTTTCTGGGTTTGAGAAAGTTGTCCGTTTAGCCGGAAATCTCTCATCCCCGGAAGCTCTGCACCAATTGTTCCGGCTAACAGGGATATCACTGTAATGGGAAAATACTCTCACAAATATTCAGAAACAAATTTATTAAAAATGTGAGTCTACCCTCAAGTCCGTGCTTTATTAATGAAGTAATAAAGCACGGACTTGTGGGTAGACTCACATTTTAATAAATTTGTTCGATTATTTGTGAAAATTTTCCCAATATTATTTATTTGTGTGTTTGTGTATCTACACATATTTACAATACAGATGAGGGAAATTACTGTCTCTAGGATAAATGACTTCCTGTCCCAGCCACGAAAATGCCGGCAACTTTAAAACTACCCGGCAATGCTTATTACCTGCCACTTAAAATTTTTCAGTGACAATTTCTTGACTTTTTCTGTTATTCTGGTTAACACATTAATTACCAATTCTAAGACACAAAGTTTGGGCCATGTCTTAGGCATCATAGGTGTCAGTGCCTCTCGGTTATTTTTGATCAGTGTAATTTGTTTCCTGAATCTTTTTTATTTTTATTTTATTCTTTTCAATAAACCTTACTGAAAAATAAATGTGATTCCAGGCAGGTAGCAGACCCTCTGAAACTATATTTGTCACTCAAATGTCAATTATTTTCTTAATTCCCAAATTTAAATAATGTACAGTCTCTTTCAAGATTCTTCGAAAACTGCTGGAGACAGCTGGCAACTCAAGGCCGTTGTTTACTATAGTAAGTAGTAAAAATTAAGAATGAATGTAAAAGGTTATCGGTGATTGGTTACTTAGTTCCCCGTTGCTTAATTAATGGTTGGGCTTTGTTGTTTCGTATTATATTATACAGTCGACCCTCGCATAACGTGGTCCCACTTTACGCGTTTCCACGGTACCCTGCCGAACACGGAATGCTCACTTTCCGCGGTGTGTGTACCCTTTTACGCGGAGAGCGGCGCGAGCAGGGTGCGCACAAGGTCGCCCAGTCATCAAAACATTACCGAGTTCTTCACCCGCCACAAACCACAGCCGGCCCAAGTCAGTGATAGTGATAATGATAGTGAGGATATGGACTTATATGGACTTTGAGGGGTTTGACAAAGAGGCCCTGCAAGTCTCTGTGGTGGATAGTGATACAATTGATACTAGTGATACAAGTGAGGGCCAATAATCTGCCCTCTGCCACGGAACCAACCCCCATCCCCAGCCATCTTTTCTACTAATGTAAGTGTTAAAAAACCTAATATTATTGATATTTCTCTTAATTATTAATTGTGTGTGCATACCATCATAAAATTAAGAAGTTATTTTTACTACAACGTAGGTATTGTGTCTGAAAAAGTGGAGTTTGGGGGTCAGCCCGGTCTCTATTTCAATTAATCCCATATGTTATGTTGTTCACTTTACGCGGGCCGCTGTGGGTTCAATTGATCGCGTAAAGTGAGGGTTCACTGTAGTACATACTATAGTAAACAAACAGCCTTGAGTTGCCAGCTGTCTCCAGCAGTGTTCGAAAAATCTTGAACGAGACTGTACATGTATATGTTGCCCCTAAATCACAATATGTACTAGAGATGTAGGTATACAATGAAAAGAATCTTTTATAGAATAGTTTAAATCACAAAAGTTACAGAACTCTTCAAGAATTGTTACACATAAAAAAATTAAGATATACAAAATGTCAATCAAAACCATACATTAGAAGAAATGGGCATGATGAAAATCTGTTTAAATCAAGTGTAGAATGCAATAAATAATACAACTAAACATGCTTTAGCAACACAATGTCTAGCATTTGTTACATGGCCACCCATCACCCCAGAGCAAAGACATTTTCCTGTACAGTCTAGTCATAGTTCAACAACTTTTATTACTGCAATAATTTGCATTGACAAACACTGCACCATAAAACTGAACAATGAACAAATTAATGGTCTTTGTGTAAAATAGAAGAATATTGATAAAACCACACAGGAAATGTGAAACACTGGAGCTCCTGTGTAGTTTTGTCAAGATTTATCTTATCTATGTTTCTATTGTGGATCTACATGAAAAGTAGAAGAATAAAATCTGTAATTCCTTCCAGAACTTACCGTCAAGTTCCTCTTCAAACAAAAAACAAAGACTAGCACTCAAAAGATACAAATTTATTGTACAATTGTTCACAGGTACTGTAGTGTTCCATCCCTTGGTGGCATTTCCAAACACGTGCCAAAGTCGGAATCACCTTATGACTGAATTGGCAACATGAGCAACTGCTCTCCTCACATTACCTATTCATTCATAAAGTGATTCCGACTTTGGCACCAAGGGATGGAACACAATACTGTAACTGTGGACAACTGTACAGTACTTCAATTTCTAAACCATCCTACATATGAAAATAGTATGAACATTGTGCTACTGATGATCCCATTTATTTGAAATAAATTTCAATAAATTGGAGCCTTCACGAGTAGGTATTTTAATGAAAAATAACAAACTTTTGTCTAAATTAAATTTGATTTCACATTATCACTAAAATAATATATATATATATATATATATATATATATATATATATATATATATATATATATATATATATATATATATATATATATATATATATATATATATATATATATATATATATATATATATCTTGATAAAATCACGACCGCCTCAGTCGTACCAAAATTTTGTCACATTACGTATTTTCGAGTCCCAACATCAGTGATTGCGCTGTGTACTGACAAAAATTTTTTTTGTAATTCACTTTAAAATGGCTGACAAGCTTAAAAGCAGAGTTTTGTGGTGCTGAGAAGAAAATGAGACACCCATTTTAGATTTTCTATGTATTATTTAAGCATTTTCGACTTACGTCCTGGATTTGGGTCCTTAACCCGTGGAAATTTGGAGATCAGTTATCTAGGAGCCTCAGAAAGCCGACTCCCTTTGAAAATAATTATAATAAAGTAGCATAATAATAAACGAGAATTGCACTTGTAAAGCATACATGGCCTCAATTGCAACAAAGTGAGTGGAAACAGGACAGTAGAAAAAAAACAATATCAAGTGTCAAGTATGTATAGTATACTACTATGTTTTAGAAATGGTTAATGTTCACCTTTGTGGAACACAATTATTAATTTGTTATTCTCAATGCCACATTAATTTATTGCCTCCAGAAAATATTAAAATCCACTTTCACCACATTAAAATTTTCCACTCATTTACTTGATGCATTTGGATTACAATTTAGTACAAAGTGGAATGTGTTAGAGCTAAGTTGAACCATGCCTTGAAAAAAGACTAAAGTTTTATTCACTGGTTTAATATGAAGGGAAAACATTAAGCAAAGGCTGAAGAATTTCTATATTGTACTCAAGTATGCAAATTCAAATGCCTTTAATTCTTTTTAGTTTGTCAGTCAATACAAATCCATGGACAAAATGAAAGGTACAGTATATAGGTAGTTCCTGTTTAATGTTTAGGAATAACAAAGTAGTACAGTTCTACAATGTAACAAGGGAGGAAGGGGACATAAAGTCAAATTCATAAGCCCGGCATGCTCTTGGTCCCAACAGTTCCAAATTCCCAAGGTTGTATTGTGCATGTGTGGATACATATACATAATGAAAACAAGTACTGTATATGATTCATAATACAAAATAACTCCACATAAGTCAATTTCCTGATGCTAATTAGTGTACATTGGTAACTTTAAAACTCGGATCAATTTATGACCTTTCCGAATTTGGGTATAAATCAACAGAAATGACATGTACAATGTAAGTACAGTATGTACTGTATTATGAATCCAATATATATAAATATACTATACTGACAAAAGTACAGAACACTTATGCGGAAGGAAAAATAAATGTATTTTTATTTACTTACATAAAGTTTTCTTGAAGTTTGGAGGATTTTCAGAGTTTTGAATTTAAGCTCCGGGCCAGGAATCATCCGAATCTTAGAGGTGTTCAAATTTTAGAATTCCAATTTCATAGATCCATCTGTATCGGTATTAGTATACAGTATACCACCACAGTATTACATGATCCATATCCTCATTCAAAATCTTAAGGTAATGCCATATGCAATAATGTGCAGTATTACAGCTAGGTCAATGGATTACTTCACTCCATGAATTTCATTTATTTCAAGCGGTCCTTCACTTGTGATCAAGACCCACAGTATCAAAGTGAAAAAAAAAAATGAAGCCAACAGTCTGTGATTTGAAAATACCAAGTCAACGGAGAGGAAATTAGTACAAAAGATTTCCATGATACAGTATTTTAAACTCTACGTCTCCTAAATTCTCACACTGTGCTACTTGGAGCTGTCGTCGGAGGTGTTCGGGTAAACATGTTGGCAACCTGTAAAATTTCCAATACAGTATTAGTTCTCAAGACCAATTGATTACATACCCAAATATATATTTCTTAATGTTTCCAACTACAGTAATATGTACAGTCCATAAAAACCCAAGTAATAATCCTTTCTTGACAGTAATAAAGTGAGGGTCAGGTGTACTGTACTGTATAAATACACTTAAGTTCAAGTTCAGCTTCTCTTCATTTATTTTGAATGTTAAATGAACAAATGTCAGTGCTCAAGGAAAAACCATAAAATAAGAACTTACATTACTTATCATCTGCTTCTGAACCAATCCTGATGCCATATTCTTAAAGGACTGTGAAATACTCTCCGATTTGCCAAACTTACATCGTACATAACCATATAAATTGCTTCCAGTTAGGGATAAGGCAATCAATACAACCATCTGAAACAGTGAAAACAACAATGGAAAAAAGATAATACTGTACCTGTACAGTATATTAAAAAAATTACATACCTGAGGTAAATCATAAACATCTTTTATGACTGAATAAATACAATGCAGTAATAATAATAAGAAAATCGGTGGGATAATGATATTTTGCTGACAGTGAAATATGGATACAGGAATAGTTCTTAACTCTTTCACAGAAATAGCACGAATATTATGGGTGGCTGCCCAGGTGAAGGATTTTCAAGATTGTCAAGAAAATCTCAAGGAATATTTGAAAGTCCTAGCTCGCTTCTGGCAATGCCAAAACACATGCTCTATACAGTAAATATATATACAGTACAGTATACAGGTATGAGACCACCTATCCGGCATGTCCCAGTACTGTATCGGGAACGCTCCAAAAACTGCTATGTTCTGGAACGAATTATTTACAATGAGCGCCAAGTAATTCCCAGGCCTAGCGGGATATTTCCAACTATTCCTCACCTTTGAGCTGTATGTTATGTTATGGTTATTTTTCAACTCATAATTTCGGGTAGATACTGTACACACAAAGAAAAGTTTACTATAAACACGTAACAATATAATGTACCCCATAACATCCCACAATTAGGATGTGCTGAAATATATAGGACTGGTTATTGACTACAAGTTTAAAGTACTACCCTTGCTTCTTCTTATGTATGATATAGTATTTGAGGAAGATTTTAAGTAATAATAATAATGATGGTTGGAATAATAGATGCTGATTTCCAAGCAACATACTTACAGCCCATCTGAATTTGAAGAATCCTATTGCAATGAGGAAGAGGATGGACCAGATGACAGGGAAGACCACCAAGGCCACCCAGAATACACGTACTTCAGTCTGCGACACTCTGCCCTGAAGACCACCCTAGCATCAGGCAAACTCATGTTATGGACATACTTCTCTACTATCTAACTCAATTAGAGAGATTTGTCTTTATTATCATTGAGGTATAACTATAATCTTTCAAAGTGGTTACCATATATCATCACTATTTCTACGGTAACATAATAGTCTCTCCAAGAATTTTAGCAAATCTTAATGTGAAAAAACTTTCACAAAACAGTTTTACCCTGTGCTGTAGTTTCTTCTACCCTGTATTAGTCCTTCCTTTCTAAAATTTGAGGTTTTGTATTTCCCTAATTAATAAAATACACATGCTGTTGACATCTATTTTATCATAAATACTTTACTTCTTTTAGTGTAATTATCTATTTCAAGTACAGTAAACAGTGGCAGATCTAAGGAGGGTTCAATTGAAGTTCCCTTTTCTCACCTGGTGCCACATTAGACTAAATCTCATCAGGTTAAGTGTCAACGTGTGCTAAGACAAACTTGTCCCCGACCAACTCGTACACAGTACTAGCTGGTGATATAACACATAAGCGGACTGCTTATCATCAGTGTACCAGGATTAGTGTCTTATGTCAGGTACCAACCCACATCTAGTCAGCTGATGGCAAGTTACTAAAATTTCAATGGAACCATCAAGCTGACAGCCTGTACAATAAATAGATAAATGGTGACAGGAGTTCTGAACATATTAGGGGGGGGTGGGAGAGTTAGGGTAGGTGATCACAGGTGCTGGATCTGATGCAGATTCACCACACCAATAAATTAGATATCAGCAAATTAGTGGACAAGTTTGCCATCAAGCAACCCACGTGGATGCTGATGTACTGTACAATAAAAAAAAAAATGGGACATGACAGGACAACTTTTACCAGAACAGGTGGGCAATTTATGGGTTAATAACCCCGATTAGAGCTGATTTGGTTAGAGATCTATTATAGGTACCTATCTAGAGCTCCAAATGGGGTATTGCTGTACTTACCTTATGGGCTTCAAACACCCAATGACTTTGACCTTCGTCATCTATATAGTTCCACCAACGGAGCCCAACCATTAAACGTCCTTATGTAAAGATACACAAAAGACTTGCATCAGTGATTGAAAGATTGCTGAGGGGATCAAATATTTTCTAGCATGTCAATTTTACAATTACAACAGATGCAGATAAAAGCTTAAAGTTGAATATTCAAGGGCTTTCTCTAATTGGGCTAACTAAAGCAGTATCCAGACCAAAGTAAAATACTGAATAACAAATTCCCAGGTCTAGAGGGAAGCCACCCAGATCCCCAAAAGTCCTGTAGACAGAAAAAGAACCCTAAAATCATTATACTGTACCGTAATACATTCAATTTACAAAAAATTAATAATGTCAGTCATGTAGCCTAATGTATGAGCCACACACAAAGAAAGGAATTTGCAGTACAAATGGTGGTGAAAAATTACCCCTCCCATGGTAACCTGCTAAAACAGGTTATTAGTGACAAATCTACAACGTTTTTAATGCAACACCACCTTTACCGACACCTTCGATGGGGACATTTTACTCTACATCTGTGGTCCTCCTATTGTATTACTCTGAAAGTTGCTCAGTTGATTATTACTCAGAGAAATGTAACCTAAAATATTATTATACAATGATATCTCCATTAGTCGGAACAATTGGTGCAGAGTACTTCCAGGAATGAGAGATTTAAGGGTAGTAATGAGACGACTCTCTCAAAGCCAGAAAAAAATCCCTCATCCACAAATTTACAAAACGTCATATGACATGAACTGAAACCCTGTAAGCACACGTCATGTTATGTAAATTGAAACCTGGGAATAATAAATATCAAACAAAAACCATTGATCGGCTGATAACGTACTCTTCCCCACCCTCTATCGAAGGCAGCACCAACAGCCATGTCCATCACTAAACTGTTCTCTCATGACATGACTCACTTTGAGTCTGAACAACTGTAGTCTCAGGAACAGTTGTTCAGACTTAAGGTGATCTATAATCTATTAAGTGTTTAATGATGATACTATTAGTGTTGAAGTGAGAATTAGTGGTGTCTAAAGAATTGTTTATGTTCTGAATTGCACACTTCATTCTAATTGGTTGAAATCAAAATAAAAGTCTGTGGTGATGCATTCTTGTAGGTGTCCATTAGTTTTCTTTATTTTTGTATTTTTGTTGATTTTAAGCAAAAAAATTAGGTGTGAAAACCAACTCTGTAATAAAGAGTCTTTATCACCAGACATACTGTACCTGTATGTTTTGACAATTGGTTGAGTACTGGTCAGTGGTTGGGTAATACAGTACTGTAGTCCTTTTATCCTGAAAGTTTCATAACATGGTACAGTATCAAGCACCTCATCTATGTTAGCTGCTAGAAAAAATCTGTACATCATCCAGAAATAATAAACAATTCCAACTTCTCTTACCTGTGATATTCTTGACTGTCCAGAAGTCCATTGAGAGAAGTATAACAATTGTAATGAAGGAACCAATGAATCCATTAGTGATGAACTCAGACAACTCGTACATTATCAGAGCAGCCGTACGAAACAGAAGGTGAAACACTGTCACCATTGGATGTCTATAAATTAAAGAAAATCTCATCTTTAGAACTACAGTATTATAAGAATCCCATTAAAATAAAAGACAAAGCTAATAAAAAATATGCATTAATTAAATGAGTCCACTGCTCATATGAAAATTTAATCTTCAATAAAAAATCAAAATCTGTCGTTAAAAATTTCAGCCTCTAGTTATAGGCCTGCAAATTCTTCATATGAAAGGTACAACAACTTTGAACATGAACAATACTAAAAATCTGTAGTGCATTACTGCACAGCCATGAACCTTGGTATTAAGGCCAATGTCAGAGCACCTTTAACCCCTTGTGTACGGGTTCCCCTCTGAGCTGAATAAAATCATCTGGCGGTAGCCAAATAAATTATTAAAAATGGTGCCCCTGTAATGAAGAGGTTAAGGGCACAGAAGCTAAATTTAAGGAGAAAAAGAAATGGGTGTCAAACCCATTTCATATAATTAGAATGTACTGTAATAATCTTAGTTATTAGATATTCCATTGATGAAGAAGCTTGTATTTAATTAAATATTAGAAGCACACTTCTTACACTCCAATATTTTGACAAATAAAAAAAATGCAACCTAAGAAAAAGGCACATAAGCCAACCATGGCCATGAATACAGGAATTTATTGTAATTAAGCCAATGAGGAGCAAACAAATGCTATGATCACAGTGAATTGCCTAACCTGAGCTTGTATTTTGAAAGGTCAAGAAAGTACTATCTTAGGCTGTGTAATATGGTACACTCTATAACCTCAGCCCTTAGACTGAAATAACATTATAAGCAAGTCTCACTCCCAACACATTTTCCCTTCTAACCAATAAACAAACACATGATTGAGTTGCTTCAATGAGTTCTGTGGTTCTCCCCACTCAGTTATTCTCTCAGAAACAATACTATGAGCTGGGTTAAAAAAAAGAAGTCAGATGCTTTCAGATGAAGCAAATTACATGTTACTTTTAAGCTAATAACTAATGATCTTCCATTCTCCTGTGTAAGCACTTAGTGCACATCAAGTTCAGCTTCCTACTAAAAAGCCCAATTACCGTAGTTGCATTTTTTTTTTAATAATCCATAGTCCTGCTTTTTGTCAGTGGTTAGTACTTAAGAAATTCACTTCTTTAGCATTATTCAGGATATGCAGTACCGTACTGTACCTACTACACAATGAAGAGAAAAAACCATGTGTTATAATTATACTAACTTCAGCTTTCCCTTGGGTTCATTTTCTTCACCAAAACCAAGTGTATCATCATTGTCCAGAAGAGGCACCTGTAAAATGGATGGGTCTTAGTACGGTGTTCTGACAGATAGTATTTCAAATTTAAGAATAAAATTTTCTTGCATTACACAGAAGGATATCCTTTATGTAAGCCTAACAATTTTTGTAACCAGAGAAATTTATGGAAAATATTTCTCCTTGGTATTTAAGCAAAAGTACTACAGTAGTGATCTCATAGACTTGAAATGATCTCAAGAAACAAATTTCATTCCTCAAAGCATTAGGGTTCAATGGAAACTTAATTTGGCAATACAGAAAAGGAAGGGTAGCTGTGGACAAGTGATGGAAGTAAAGCCAAGAATATCAAAGAAGATGAAGGAAAGAATTGGCTGTGTTGCTTGAGTGATGAAATGTCGATTATGTGACAATATAAGAGAGTCAGTCTCTGAATATTACACATCAGATTAAAAGAAGTGAAAGAGAGTGGGTTATAGCGAGAATACAAGGAGTCAGAAGTTCAAGGAGAAAAAACAAGAGATTCCGGTATGACCTGAATAACTGCACTGAAAATTTAAGTACTATACAAGAGTTGAGACAAGAAAGCAAAGGTACAGGACTGTAGGGAAACATGAAGTACTGTACCACAGATGAGTGAAAATTAAGGATTGAAATATGACCTAGGGGTTGATAGTGGGGCATACATGATTGATAAAATCTAAAAGAATAAAAAAATGTGAAGAGACAATGGAGAAGATAGAGAGGATTGTTAAATGATGTGCAAGTTGACTGATGTGGCTGCACTACAAAGACTGGCACAACAGTCTGTAACCATTACTGTACTGGGGGCTTATAAAAAAATGCAAAATACTGGCAAATGGAGTAAGGTTGTCATAAAGTTGTAAAATATTAAAAAAGCTGTTCTGGGGAGACCAAAGGGAGTGGGTAAAAGAGTGCTGGAGAGAATATTTTGAACAAATGCTAAATGTAATAAATATGAGAGAGGTAGAATGTGGGAGATTGAATAGTGTCAACTTATGGATAAAGACTGAAAGGTAGAGGGACACATTACCAGTGAAATTAGAACACTGTCAAGGATGTGTAATGTAAACATGGTATTTTATATTTTCACAGATTCGTAAGAAAAACCAGCCAAAACTCTTGCTTTAGTAAAAAAAAAAAAAAATAGATTTTAAGAGATTAGAACTGTAGAATTCACATTCATTCAGAAATATAAACATTTCTGTTTAATTGGCATCACAGAACAACAGACAAATCAGCCCACCTGGTGAGTGTTGGCTTTGATGGCACTATATGACTCTGACCCCAGCTTTGGAAATCGTGTAACATGGGAAAGCTCTCAAATATTGACTATACTGTAGTGCGTTTTTTCCAAGCTGAGAAAAGATGCCCCGCCCCCTCCTCAAGGGTTACAGCTGATTGGCTGTTGCAAATCTGTTCAATTTCGTCCTGAAGTAATGATGTATTTTTAAAGGAGTTCATTCATAATCGTTGGGACGGTCATCCCCCTCAGTGATGATGTTTGTATCTCTGAAAGTTTGTAAGTTGAACGTTCTTAAGTAGAGGAGCACCTGTATAAGATTTCTGATAAACTTCCTTTTGTGCTCGTTTGAAATAATGAATGTATGTATCTTTATATAATTTAGCTAAATACTGTATCTTTCTCGTCAGAAACGGTCATTCCAACGATTATGAATAAACTCATTTAAAAATACATCATTACTTCAGGACGAAATTGAACAGATTTGCAACAGCCAATCAGCTGTAACTCTTGAGGAGGGGGCGGGGCATCTTTCTTAGCTGAGAAAAAACATGTGTGCCACCAAGGGTTTAACTGAGCTTCTAGTCTAGTCAGGTAGTTCTCTCAAGACCTAAGCTTTCATCAAAGGGTCTAATTTGTTGGTTTATACTCGTATGTTCTAAGCATTGCCATGGCATCTGTATGCTTGCTCTTTCAAGAAAGAAATTATCTGCTGGGAAACTGATAAGAAATATTAACCTCTGTTTGTAAGACATGTACAGTACTGTATAAAAGGGTTACCTGGATGAATTTTCTTTAAAAGTCAAACATGATATTGTACCATCATCCCTAGGAGGGGAGGGCAAAGACTCAGGTGAGTATAAGAGGGGGGGGAATGGGGAGGAACACAAGAGGCAGGTTTCTAGGTGTTAGGCTCATAATTCAGGAGGGGAAAGGACCAATGTCAATAGGGCACAATACCAGACAAGAGAGAGAGAAGACCTCTACACTGGGATTTAACCAATATAAGTGTATACAAGAATACTTTACTATCAAATTTTATGCAGATGCTTTGACTTTTCAACATCAACTGGGCTTCTAAATCCCCTAACATTGAAAAATGAATAAAAATCTCACGTTACACAGCAAATTAGATGGACTGGATAATGCAATAAATTTACCAACTATTTACTGTACTGCAGTAATCCATTAAGAGAACGAAGCATTAAACTTAACAGGGACGTGAAAAACACATTTGACCTCTACATAAAGATGTATAATGAGAAAAGAAAGCAGCTGTGAAAGGTCCTTTTGACAGCTTTATTATTCAAAGGCATAAACCACCAACTTCAGCTTCACCATCATAAGCCTGAAGGGTCATAGGTTTTTTTTTGTTAAGGGCATAGAAGCCTGAAGAGTCATAGGTTTTTGTCAGCAAGTTATTGGAAGCTCCAACAACTTTCCCTGAATACTAATTCGCAACTTTTCGATTTACAACAGGTACCTACTTTACTGCTAGGTGAACAGGGACCAAGGGGAGCTAGGAAGTGTGTCCAAACAACTTTCCACCGGCTCGGGAATCGAACCTGTGACATCTCGCTTGCGAGGCAAGAAGCGGTATCGCTGTACCACCGGCACCCCTTTTGTTTTACATTATAAGTATTATTTAAAACATATATGAACAATAATAAGTGTTTCTTTCATATTCTTATGTAGAGAAATGACGATGTTTTCACATATACGTACTTACATACGATGGCATTCCCAATCTATTTCGTTTTTTCGTTACCATTAATGGTTAGCTACTTCTATTGTTCCATTTATTAACATTAAATAACATTACTTAATACATACATATTCATTTTTTTTACATTAATTTTACTACAGCAACAACCAGGGTCTTATTTTCTTCAGAGTCTTATGTGGAAGTAGAACCATCGTCATTCGTCACGGGTGTTGTAACCATGAACGAAAACAATGCCGTCTCGTCTCCTCTCTTGTGTTTTAATATTCTACGTATTATTTATGAATTGCATTGTTCATTTCGCACATAACATTAATTCAATCAAATACATATTCAGTAATAAACAATAATGAATCTTTTGTGCATACTCTTAATAAGATAAATGACGCGGTTTCCTTGAGGTCGCAAGTATACATTGCCATTCCACTTTCACTCTCTTTTTTTCTTTAACATCAATGGTTACTTTTGCTGTACTTTAAATAACATTAATAAAAATAAAAAAAAATTTTACATTAATTTTACTTTTGCAACAACCAGGGTCTTATTTTCTTGTTTCACATGGATAACTGACATTATGGGTGTAATCACGACAACAACGATAGCGTCCCATCTCCTCTTGTGTGATCTTATTATTATTGTTTTATATTGTACAGTATAAGGTGCATTCATAAACATTATTTAAAGAATATAGTTTGCACTTTTCATTAATTGTATTGTTTTAGGGGAGTAAAAAGCCACACAAAAGTTATGAAAAGGTCACACTGGGGAACGCATCTCATTATTATTGCTTAATTTTAATGGTAATTAATGATTCATGATACGATGATTCACCCTACACTGCAATATTGGAGGACACATTACCGTCGTTATTCGAGGCTTTACTGTATATATAAATAAAATGTCTTAAATTACCTTGCTACAGGTTTTCTTGGCTTAGAACTGTTAAGCTAGATGCAGAAATTACACCACCAGCTTTTTTTAACAATTAAATTTGGATACATACTTAATACAATGAATGTAAAGTTCTTACAGTACAGAGGTATTTACAGTACATACAACAGGCAAGCATGCAAGCAAGAGTACAGCTACAGATTTATCATAATCTGATCTCATGAGTTGTTTGAAATCTTTAAATACATGATGTAGAATAGTGAATGTAACTTTTACACTGTTTATTATTACAGATTTTTCACTATGCTATTTTTGGATTCCCTGTATAATACAGTACAGTCATCCCTTGGTTATCACACCTAATTGGGACTGAGCCGAGTGCGTGATAACGAAAAACTCGATAACGAAAGTACAGAACCTATGGGATTTATTCTAAATGGTTCCAGGCACTCAAGACCCAACCCCAATTTTCCCATTTTACGACCATTTAGACCCACTAAAGATATAGATAATGTTATGGTAAGTATCAGAAACACACATAGGCATGGCTAGGTTTATTACAAAGTGATGAAAAGGGTACATTCAATACTGTAGTCCACAAAACATGTAGCTATGCTTTCTTTATTTGGGTCCCCCGTCTGAGGAGTCCATTTTCTCATCGCTTCAGGACGCCTGAGTCCTACCGTTTTCTCTCAATCTTAGAGTGCACCCAAGACTTTGTTATTGTAATGACACAGAATTTGAAATTGCAACTGGGGTTGCAATTATTGAGGCAACTTAGATATGTCTGATTTCAGTTGGAACATTCAAGATCCATTGTGAGTGATGTTGAAAGCTTCAACTGTCTTTATGGTTGGTAAAACTTGTCAAGTAAGTGAGTGTCAAGTCTGTCAGTATGAGTGGCATGTGTGAGTGCTTGAGTTTGTACAACCGCTTTCAAGTTTTGTTACCTCCATCCATTTTCATCCAGCAAATCTGTTAAGTGTCAATTTGTAGGTGAAAGATTTTATCCTCAATAGATGTAGGTGAAGCAAGGGGGTAACAATACACCTGGAGGCAACTGCGTGATAACAAAATTTTTGGCTTGAAAAATGCGCTATAACAGCAGGTGTGCAGATTTTAATGGAGGTGTGATAACGAAAATCGCGATAACCGAGTGCGCTATAACCAAAGGATGACTGTACCTTAACATTACTGTTGTTAATTTCTTGTGGCAGACATAAGTAAATGTCCTGATAATAACACAGTAAATTCTAAAGCACTTACAACACTTCCAAGAACATAAAAAGTAATAGGCATAGTTGGCAAAGGACAAGAAGTAGAATAGAATTTGAGTCCGTGGATACAGGGAAATACCCAGTTTGGTAGATACTGAATTTCAGAACCCTAAACCTGCATTTGAGACTTTTAAGTGCACTGATGCACTGTATACACTGCAGATTTTTTCAATTTGTTAAAAGTGGCTAAGCTTAAACCTTGGCTTCCTGTATTTTGAATCCCTGAAATATTTAAAAAATAAATGCTCAGGAAAAAAATTCCCAACTTGCACCTGTAGTTTCAAGCCTGAAATTAATAAAGTACTGTACGGTACTGTACTGTAATTTCTAGTAAAGCCCAACACCAGATGATACCCATAATACATCCTGCTCACTAGGCTCTCCATGCCAAAGTAATGCCCATAATGCAGGACAGGGTTGTTTTATTAACCAATGAGTCTCAAATGGGAGGACTAGGTGGTACAGGTGCATACTAAAGGCTATGAGGTCTTCTATTCAGTGTCCATCCAATCATAACACTTTGTGTCAAGACTATGATCTACCATCATTGATTTCAAGCTCAACCAGTTTTCAAATTCAGATCCAGCTGATTTACATATGAACCAAGGGGGGTATCAAGCCTCCTGACTAAGGGCTAAAATAGGATTTCATGACCAATCCTCCATTTACATCATTATGTTATGTGGTTTCTGAAATCAAATCCAGACATCAGTGAATGACGAAGCATTCATTTCATAATGCAGTACAGTGAACCCTCACTTATTTAATATCATTGGGCCTCTGGGTTGAACGAATTAGCTCAAACTATCAAAACCTATTGAAATTACCTGGTTCTCACAAAAAAAATTTAGAAACTATGGAATATGTATAATGGTATAATAAAAACCATCTCAAACCACTTCATATATATATTGTACTGTACTATGAAAGCATTACATGGCTTCATAAACATCAGCTTATAATAGAAACAAAATTAAGCAGTATGGTATTAATATATAAATCAAAAGATCAATAAATAAGCTACAAGTAGTGGAAAAAAGCCATTAAAAGTCATTTCCTCCTTAGTCTACACACTGAAGAGGAATATTAACATGAAAAACACAGCAGTACAGCGGACAGGAGGAGAGCATGCAACAAATCTTTTAAGTTCCAGTCATTTAATATAATTACCTGGTCAAGATCTTCACCATACATTATTGAACTCTAAACAATGAAAGAGATTGGATATGCATTAGTATCAAAATTATCATGTGAAATATAGTATGTATCTGTATACACTATAATGAGCATGTGTTACACCCGGCTAGGTCTGTATATCAGTAAAGTACACACACAGTATATACAGGTTGACCACAGAATTTCTGGTCTGGTATGGTCTGGACAGTTTTAAGGTGGTGGAATTTCAAATTTACCGCACACTCTCAGAGTGCAGTTTACTGAGCCACCGTTATGTTGTGGTGGCGTTAGTACCGTATATACTTGAGTACAGTATAGTTAAGAGTTTTTACGATCAAATTTTTATACAGAAAGTAGGGCGAAACATATGCGCATAGTATTTTTGAGGGGTTAAAATTCATGCATTTCCACAGGTATGTTAACATTACCAAGTTAGGGGTGATAGTGCGGCAGCTGTGGGACGCCATTATGGCGTTAACGAGTCAACTGTGCGCTCAATCAGGAAAAATTAGGCAAATATTTGTGCAAGTGTCTCTACCAGTGCCCCCAAAAGAGCTAAAGTAACTTTTCAAACCCATAACAGTAACATGGAAAAATTGGAGCATGACCCAACATCCACCTCATTCCCTTCCAATATCACCACCATTTTCATCGGTACGGATCTCCCGTGGTGACAATGTTTGGGTTCACATTGTCCGCTATATGAGAGCATCTGCAGTCTTTCATTACAAGTCAAGAAACAAACGACGGTCTCATCGGTCGTGATTATTACGATTTACATTGGAATGAATTCGTTCATTTTCTCTAGAAATATTGTTTGGATGATAGTAAGAAAATTGGGTGAAATTTCAGTCATGCACCGGTCTTTCTCTCGCTGTTATTATGTTTTTCGTAATGTTTATACAATTCTAAGACCTTTTTCTTCTATGATATTTCCGCTGGAAATTAAGGATAACCGAGATATTAACTTTTCAGTATTATTAGATTTGGTCAGTTACAAGTGTCGCCATTTGTTGTCTATATCACAGAGAAGGTCTGACCACCCATCACGCAGTGCTCCTTACCTCCGTGTTGGCTTCTTAAATGTCTACAGCGCATGTGCGGGGGGTGGTGTGGGAGTTTCTTATTGGCTATAACGATAGGAGACTTATAATTGGGCAAGAGTTTTTTGTCTTAGCCAATGAACAATGCATGGGTGCGTCGGGAGCGGAGATTTGATTTTTCAGTACCAGAATAACCAGATATGGCTGAACAGGTGGAAAGAGCTGTGCCGACATTGTGATAAGAGATAATTTTACGTCAATTGCAGAGTTTCATCAGAAAAATAGTGTTAGGTTAAGTTAGGTTAGGTCAGGTTTGGTTTTGTTGGTTGGTTGTTATTTTATTTATGTGATTTACTAAAAAAAAAATACATTTTCGTTGAGATTGATTGGTGAGGAGGTATCTAAAAAACTATTGATTTCCGGATGAAATAAATATTAAATTCGTTCGAAACTCATCAAATAACATCGGAAAAACATATTTTTAATGTCCAAACAAAGACCCGGTGCATAAGTAATATTTGACCGAAAATTGAAACGACAATGCACAGGTTAGGAATTTAAGTGAGGTTAGGTAAGGTAAGTTAGGTTTTAATAGTTTCTGTACATTCTCGCTCCCATTTTCGTGTTTAATATGCAAATAGTATCTTCAGAAATTTTGGTTATATTCCATAAGTTATTTCTGGTACTAACTGTCTCCTCCACCTTTATCACATTAAGTATTACCCTCGATAAATATATATACAGGCATGTATAAATTTCTATCCAATAAAATATTTATTCAGCTGCCTGCTGATGTGTCATCTGTCAAACAATAAAAATTTTCCAGGGCCTTTTGCATTATGCTCCTTTAAATTTACTATATAACAATTGTACAACTTCATAAATTATCGAAAATAGGCTAAATCATTGATGATTTATTTCATACATACTCCATATAAACCAGAAAAAACAATATATGGTTTAGAGTGAGTGCTTACGTTGTTGGCCATGGCTGCTGATGTCAACACAACCTGGCCACACTTTCCTAGATGACTAGAGTTATCTTATATGTACATGACAATAACAAACCTTTTTAAGACTTATTACTATTATATTTATTCATACGATTTTCAAAAGTGCTTATATTCATAATTGATTCTAAACGAAATGATAAGGTGGATTTTACTACTTCTGTTTATCCAGTAAACAAGGAATATCTAATAAGGAAGTCATACTCGAAGAGTTTAGCGAGCGCAGTTGGCGGTATTTGGTATGGGTTATAGTTTGTCTCCTCAATGTGGGGTGGCGAGACTGTCGCAACATTTACTAGCAACACTCGTCTTGCCCGCGGTACCCACCGTTTCTGCGGGTATGTCAGTTACATAAGAATAGCCCATTATAATACATTCTTCTTTCCTCACACAGACAAACTGTGGAATGCTTTGCCTTCTTCTGTGTTTCCATACTCTTACAACGTCTCACTTCAAAAAGCTGGTTTTCCGGCATCTTCGTGGTGTAGCTTAACATACTCTTTTTCTCCTCAAAATGTTATTTTTGTACTTTTAACCCCCCCCCCCCTGGCCTCTGTGTGGGGCAATGACCCGTGCCTGAGTGGACTATTTTTTTTTTACGTTAGGTTGTTATATATATATATATATATATATATATATATATATATATATATATATATATATATATATATATATATATATACTGTATATATATATATACACCGGTAGCTGCCTGTGGGCAAGATGGTTCTTGCAAACAAAAGAACCTTTTTTTGGTCACTTGGGTCATATTCTGATATTGGTGGGGAATCCATTTACCTCGAGGAGAATCTTTTAACTACAATCATGTTTCAATGTATAACAAAAAGTTGTATCCCAACTGACACACGTACTGTACCCCGATGTTACTATAGAGTGACTGAGTGGATATAATAACGCTCTTCTGTTTCGCTTCCAGGGCACTCCCAGTCCATTTAACTAACTTTACAGTTGAGGAAATGAAGAAAGTCGAGTACTGTGCTGAAGGCTTAGTGTAAAGTATGTTATATACTGTACATGCCGTCAGGTTCATGGGACCAACTTTCAGTTTTCGCTAAGTAATAAAGGTTAGTTTTGCCCAGCAAAATGATCAAAGGCACTTTTTCCAAGTTTATCAATAACCTTCTAATAGTTATTACATGAAATAAAGAGAAAATTCTCACTGTTCTGCCAAACTTCGGGAGTCTCCACGTCCCAAATTAGTTTCAGGTATTTCCCAGGAATAAATGTAAATAAAGCAATAAACATTATGTTTAAATGCAGCCGAAAGATTCTCAATTAACAAATTTATTAGAAAGATAAATATCATGGACCTTATTTTTATCATATCATATAATTATGCTCCTACTGTAATATTACTCATGGAAAATGCACTGTACATCATGGCAATAAGATTATGTGCTACGGGTGTAAAACTAATGGCTGGTTTACTTCTTGCCGTGCAGTAGTTGCCGTGCGGCTATGATACCATCTATCCATTCTCGGAAGAACTGCACATCCACATACACACCGGGCACATCCTTCTGGCCACAGCCGATGCCCCAGGCAGTGATACCGGCGATGTAGTAAGTGCCAGTAACGGGATCCTGGCAAGCTAAAGGTCCTCCTCCATCACCCTCACAAGCGTCCTTATTCTCCTCGCCTCCAGCACACATGAACGACTTATCCAGGATGAAAAAGGAGCCCAAGCGGGTCCCGCGTAGCAGATGCTGGCATTTGGCTTGATCGACCGTTGGCACTTCAACTTTCTTCAGGATCACTTGGTACTGACCTCCGTCAAATGCATCCTTACCCCAACCCGTAGCATAGCACCGGGTCCCATGAGGGGCTATTTGTCCTAAGTTTGGAAGACATATTGTGTTTATGTGATACTGGTATTTTATAGGCTCAGTCAGTTCTATCAGAGCAATGTCATTGTGCAAGTTTTTGGGATTGAAAAGTGGGTGTATCTCAATGTATTTTACCAATGTGTCGAAGTAATTGAGTTTTTCATCATATCTGTCAACCTGATACTCGCCCAGCCTCACGCGTAGGTCCCCTGGAGTGAATCCATTAACACAATGAGCAGCAGTGAGCAACCAGCGGTCGCCTATCAGTGAAGCTCCACACTTGTAGGTGAAGTTGGTGAAGAAGATGATGGCCTGCCAGGGGAACTCTGCAAACTCTGCTTGGTAGTAGAGGAGGTCATTGTTTTTTATACGAGTGTCTAGTGCGTAGTTGCGGGTACCACATTTATCTGCAGCAGGTAGAGTTGGATGTGGCAATGGTACTGTTGGGTTACGACAACAGACTCCGGGAACCGAGAGTCCACTACCGCTGAGGAGACACTCTGACCAGACACCATTGCTGCCGTAGGGGACGTAGTTGGAGGCACTGTCGAGGATTTCTCCCTGGCAGAGGATCTCCGGCAGACACACAGAATTGCTAGGGCAGGTGTCCAGGACAGGCACGGGAGGCGGCGGAGCAGGGTAGCAGCACGCGCCCACTATGTTGGGGTTCACGTAGCATGGCTGGAGAGACAATCTTATTACAGTATATAATTATCAACTGTAGAATTTTGTTTTTGTTTTTACTGATAAGGCAAAAAATCGGTAATTATACCGTTATGAATCCATAATTCTGGAATACTCCACTTTCAATATGAAATGACAAACGGATTTTATTATAATGTTTTTATAACATAATAAGAAATTATCTGCTCACCATTTACTGTAAGTCAACATTCCATTCTGAAGAAAGATCCGTTTTCCAAATTACGATACGTAATATCTACTTCCTTAATTACAAATGTAGTTTTGCATTCACAGGATATTCATCAACTTTACAGATAAAGATAGTTTGATCTTTTTAATTATTGCCATAATAATGTAGTCAGTGACAACCCCACACATGATAATGCTTAGCTATTTATTAATCTATTTTTTCTCAATCTACTTCATTTTTAAAATATCTTTAGTTCAACATACTGTATATCTTATATTCTAATGTCTTATAACTGGCGAGCACTGTAGTGTCAACTAGCAACAGTTATCTTGAGCTGTTGTGGTGAGAGTGAACACTTACCGAGTTGGAGGAAGAAGCGGTGTTGCCTTCGTAGTAGCAGAGATCAGACACCAGGCAGGTCTCCCCCCCGGGGCAGATGAGAACAGGCGGTGGGGGGGCACAGCATACACCCACCAACTCGCCACCTCCCTCTAAGTAGCATCTCTACACAGATAATAGTTTTATTAGAGAGTGAACTTCTTTTATATTTGCTCATGTCTTACACTTGCCACTAAACAAATATCAGAAATTTCCTGACTATCTTCCTATACTCTAGGTCTAGCTATTCATCTCACATACTTGTAGATTTATTATTATTGCTGCGTACTCTATGAGACTTTATTAATTTTTTCAGTCATTATTGCCTAAACTGGGGGTATAAGTTTTGTAGTGGTGGCCAGGAGTGGTAGAAGAAATGGCTGTTAAGATTCAATGTCACAAAGTGTAAGAGGATACACCCAGGTCGTACCAACAGAAAGGAGGCTATCACATGTCCCAACGGGACGAAGAAACAGCATTAGCAGAGAACGAATGTGAAAAGGACCTGGGTGTGTATGTTGACAACGAACTAGTTCTCGGGCCATTGTGAGAAGGTGAATTAAGCATCTAAGCTAATGGGCCTCATAGGTAGGTCGTTCAGATATCTATATACCTCGTAACGCTCTTCAAGGGCGAGGTGCTTCCCCGTTTGAAATACTGTCACTGTCTGGTCCCCGAGATATGCCTAGAGACTGTCAGTTACCTAGGGCGATTAGAACGCCTGCAGTTGCCTAACTTATACAATAGGCGGACAAGGGATGACTTAATTGAATTTATAAACATCTCAGAGGGTAGTACTCAATCTAGAGTTCATACCTGGAGCTGGCGGATGCCCGCTCAATTAGGGGTCGAAGAAGCTAAAAATTCCGAAAATTGTGACGGCAAATGTTTTCAGAGTGTGAATTGTAAAATCTTGGAACAATCTGCCTGAGAATGTTGTGGCGACACCGAGTATGAGTTCATTCAAGACCAGATACATTATGGAGTCATACGTTATAGAGACGTGACCGACGGCTCAAGCGGCTAACGAGCCGATCAGTGGCGAAGAGGATAAAAGTAAAAGTAATGTAGACAGCACTTATGAAGATGGAGTTTCTTTCCTCTCTGAAAGCACCATATGTTAAACAAGCTTACGTCATGATGACAGAGAGTTCATTCATATTCTTTATTTGGAAGAGTTTGTAATGGTGTATGGTAGTGGTGAGTAGTATGCATCAATGGACCATTCAATGGCCAACAAAGTGCTGTAGCAGTATTCAAAAGTACACATTAAATACCCTGAAAATGTGTGTAAAACATTAAATTTAGTAAATTAATGGCATGAAAATTTTAAACAGATAAATTGAAATGAGTGCAACCAAGGATTCTGTTATTTATTGTCCAGCAATCCTTGGTACAACTCCGCCCCTGACAACGCCGCCCCTGACCCACCAGGCGGAGGTTTCAACGAACTGTTGACAACCATCATCCAACCTTCATTCGACCACAATGTTTCTCTTTTAGGTCTTGACTGTATGGCTTATTCTCACAAGTTTACGAGAATTTTAGACTTCATCCTACAAGAAGGCATTCACTTAAGTCCAACAAGAGACAACGTGAAAAAAGCTACTTTCTTGCCAGTCGCCCTATCCACACCAACAATGCTCCCTCCTACACTAACGACGTTGTTCTCCCCTACACCAACAAGAGCCTCCAGCACCTACGTGATGTAGCCCCACGTCCAAGATGCTAGTGCCAGCGATGTTGATGGTGCCCTGGGCGGTGCACTGATGGTTGGGGACACACACTCGTGTTCCGGGGCACGTCTGCAGAGGCGCGGGGACGTGCGGGGTACAGCACACACCAGCTGGAGCGTTCGGTTCCAAGAAGCAATCCTGCACACAACAACAGATACGTGTTACAATGCAAATTGAAGCGATCATTGATTGATCCTTGGCCAATGGAAAATCTAGGCTTATAATGATTAATGGCGGTATTCATAGAGTAAGCATATACAGTGTATATATATATATATATATATATATATATATATATATATATATATATATATATATATATATATATATATATATATATATATATATATATATATATATATATATATATTACTTTTTTGCGAAATCGGCTATTGTGCAAAATTTCCGACATGCAATTATTATTAATATTTATTTACTTTATTTTATTTTATTTTTTTTATTTTTTTTTACGGGAATTAGCCCACCCGGGCACAGGTCGAACGACCCACAACGGGGCCTAGGGGGCCCACGAAGATGCTGGAAAACCAGCTTTTTAAAGTGAGACAGATTGTATAAGTATGGAAGCACAGAAGAAGGCAGAGTATTCGAGAGTTTGGCTGTGTGAGGAAAGAAGGAGGTACTATAATGGGTTATTCTAGTGTGACCGACATCCACAGAGAAACGGTGGGCACCATGGGCAAGACGTGTGTTACGAGCCCACGGCCTTGCCGGCGGTACACAGGATGCCAAATCCACCGAACATTGCCCGTTAAAGTCCCTGTAAAAGAGAGAGAGTAAAGCAACATTGCGGCGAAGAGAAAGGGAAGAAAGATTGTCGACTAAAGGAGGAGAGTTAATAAGACGAAATGACTTTGATTTCACCCTATCTAACAGATGGACAGTAGAAGAGCCACCCCAGATATGAGAGCAGCACTCCAAGTTAGGACGAATGACTCCAATGAAAGTTAAAAAAAAAAGAACAGGACCACTTAACTGTGTATCAATCTAAACGAACCATCCTAACCTAACCTAACCTCTCACTTAACCTAACCATAGGGTTAGGTTAGTTTAGGTTGTCTAACGTATTTTGCAAAATTACCAATATGCATTGCGGTAATTTTGTAAAATAACCGATTTCGCAAAAAATAACGGAACACATATATTGCACACAGCGCGGGGGTCCTGACCTTCAATTTGCCGCTGTGATCGGTGACAAGAGTGCCGTCACAGGTGCCGTGAGGAAGACACACGTCACCCGGCGTACACGACGGTAATTTGCAGCATTTAGCCGCCACCGACGGGTAGTCAGGGTTAATACACTGTTGAAAAATTATGGAGATAAGTAACCTAAGAATCTATATATATATAAAACAAAGAAGTCTGTCTGTGTGTCCGCACGAGAATCTCGGAAACTACTTTACCGATCTGTAGTGATGATGGATGGTGTTATATGTAGTGATGATGGGTGTTGTTATATGTAGTGATGATGGGTGGTGTTATATGTAGTGATGATTAGACAATAAAATAATAACAGTTTAATGCTAAAAAAATATACTTTGCTGTACTGTTGTAGTGAAAAACATGGTGGAACTTACATACACCGTTAATGATAACTATTGGTGGAAGAAGAAGTTTTGGAGACTGAACAGTGAGACAATGTGGAGCCTCCCGGTGGGTGGCATCCTACCGTGGCCTAGCGAATGCGTTTTTGCTAGTTCTGTATATAAAATATCTATGAAAAAAATTTATTGTGAAGTTAGATTTTGATCACCATACATCACAATATGAATTGACTATTATTCACACGTAAAACATCGCTAGATATATCTCAAAACACTCACAGTCACAGAGGTAGGTCTATTGCGCGGATTCAAGATGCCAATTCCAGAGGTGTTTAGCTCTCCGTCATGGCAGAGATATGTGGGCACGCAGTCATGTCCTTCATTACAGAATGTCGAGGTTGTCACGCCTGTGCTTCCCGCGATACCACCAACAGGGTGACGATTTGGATCCACGGTGCCGGGGACGCTGCAGCAGACCTTGTGTGGTTCTAAGCAATGTTGTACTGTCTGTGGGAGATGTTGAATATAATAACTCTCGCGTGGTTTTGGTGAAGAAATTGTATCAGTAGTCAAGTCACCAGAAAACATTTCTGTAAAAACGAAGAATACTACTCACTCCAAGGAGCACCGAGGAAGTTATACGAACGTCCAGCAAGCCACTCCCATCCGTGATGACCTTGCCGTTCAAACACAAATTCCGGTCTACACATTCATGATGCTGGGGAATATATTATGTATATATGTAATTAACTTTTCTGTAATTGTTGATTAACTACAGAATCATAGAAAACTTCATGTTGCTACCAGCACTTGTAAGGCATTACACACATTGTCATATTTAGGTGAAAATTCACGATGTTTTTTTTAGCTATAGGCTTCTCTCTCTCATCTCCCAAAACCTTGACATGTTTTGTTATTGTTATGACGTTATTACTGCGTCACACTAGCACCTTTTCTGTAATTTTCTTGCATAAATTTTCTAAAGATTGTCATTTTTCTGAGCATAGAGAACTAGAGCGCCTGTCTTTTTTTTTTGGGGGGGGGGGCATCCCCCTACATCCTGTGTAAGGTGAAGCGCAGAAGCGTTTACAGCGCCCAACAGGGAAGCATGCTAAGTTCATGCTTGCCTTCAGGCGTAGAAGCCTGAAGGGTCAAGGGAGTAGAAGCCTGAAGAGTCAATCGTTTTTGTCATCAAGTTATTGAAGGTTCCAGCAACTTTCCCTGAATACGAATTCGCAACTTTCGATTTACAACAGGTACAGTCACCCAAAAAAGTCCTGTCACCTCTCTTCCTGAACCACTAACCCCGAGATTCAGACTCGTGAACCCGAGGCAGTAGACACTGATACGTTACATGTAGTCTTTCCATAAATGCTTCGGATTTAAGAGTCTGAATCTCGGGGTTCGTGGTTCAGGATGAGAGGCGACACGACTTTTTTGGGTGACTGTACTTACTTTACTGCTAGGTGATCAGGGACCAATTGGGGCTAGGAAGTATGTCCAAATTTCTGTGTTCGTCAAGTGTAAACAAACATACCAGAAGTATTTACGAATATCAAAATCAGTATAAAAATCGATACATAATAATTTTAATATTTAGTTTAATTATTCTACGTGGCTCGATATTTATTTTATATAGATATCTTCATTGTCGAGTATAGATCTTGACCTGATCAAGGAAATTGGCCACGTTTCGTCTCAATGAAACGCAGACTGACCTTGTGGAAAAAAACGACAGAAGATGGGAAAGGTGGCGGAAAAAGTGCTATTGTGTATTTTTAAAACCCTGTGGGTATTCAGCATCTGCAGTATCTCTTCAAGATCACGCATCCTAATGTCAGGTGTCTTCAACACCTCTCACCATCAATCTCCCTACATACTGAGAGTAGCGACATAAGCGGTCCCATGTTTAAATAGAAAAGGTGGCTACTGGACGCCACCGAGCCCTTCCGTTCAGGTTGACCTGTAGTCACACAAATCATATTCCTGTTTCTAGTTGGAAGTGGACATAGGCCTAGTGTGTAATGTGTAATGCCGTGCTGATGTGCCATCGGATGTACTAATAGATCGGAGAAGGGATTTAAACTGTACAGATTTCCTCCAAACCCAGAAAGAAGGAAAATATGGGTAAACAAAGTCAGTCGTCTGGATTGGAAACCGTCTCCATCATCTTACTTGTGTCAGGTGTGCTTTATGGCTGTGTTGTCATACACTAGGTGAGCAGGTTCACTAGGTGAGAAGCTCACCCTTACTTTCTATAGAAATAAGTATAAAATATAAGAGATACACGGGGAATAAGGACAGATGAAGAATCCGTGTAGCCTATTAAAAGTTGTGCCAGCAAATTCTAGTCGCTTATTGTGCTTTATTTATTTCCCTTGTTTTATATAAGCTGTGTCCTTGTGTTATTCTTGCCTGACTGAAATATTACCCGCATCAGCCTTCTAATTTTCACAACACTTTGAGGGTGATCAATTTGAGAACAAGCGAATAGATGGCAAACTACAGCCACAGTAGTACAGTGTATAAACAACCAATGAATGTGACTGATAAAATACCGAGTTGGAAAGAGTGATTATTTAAACGAGTGAATTAATGCTTCTGAAAACTGATTAATTAAATAACGAGTGATTATATATGCAAACATATACTGATTATTTTTTATATTGTACTGAAGCTGGTGTGCGTCAGGCTTTTACAACTGTGCTATTTATAACTTTAATAAATGTTGTTGTTTCTGATATTTCTGAATCAGTTGATAAAGTCTTGCACCAAACTCTACTTGACACACTTCCTTCTTTTATTATTGATTTTTTTTTCAATTCCTCCTTTCTTTCCAATCGACGCTATACACAGCCGTAAAGTGATTCACTTCTACTATCGCTCTACTTACTACTAATAAATTCCGCTCGAATACACAGTTAAAAAAGAACACTAACCTGGGGACAGCCTGACTGGGCCGGCAGCACTCCCACAGCACCCTGAAAAACATGTTGGTTACTGTCGGTAATTGGTGAAGCTCTCAAATAAGCATTAGATTATACATAAAAGTATTTTCGATGTAAATTATATAATAAAACATGGATCAGAACGCTAAGACATATCAAAATATTAATATATGTATGAAAAAAGATAACCTTGTAACAACCAAGACTCGCTGTGTCTCACCTGCTGTTGGTGTGAGGCCCGGGGCATCACAACCGCTATCACTGCCACTATGTACAACACCTTGCCAGTCCTCATCTGCCACACATAATATTAAAGATTAAGTTTAGGACTGTGCATTAAAAAAAAAAAAAAATATATATATATATATATATATATATATATATATATATATATATATATATATATATATATATATATATATATATATATATATATATATATATATATATTTTTTGTGATCATAACCGAAGCTTACTTGAGCCTTATATGAGAATTGATATAATTTATTCTTTTTTTTTTTTAATAAGAGTTCACATCCTTGTAGAAACTATTCGTCCGCATCGATGAATCTCCGAGGTCATACAGTCTAATAATGTATTTGTTATGAACTGTGTGATTGTCTTAGGGATACAGTTACCAGATTTGTTTTAATATTTTTTTTGGGGGGTTATAAAATATAAATTATTATTAACCACCTTTATGGTAAATTATCACTTGTTGCCACTGTACGAAATCGAAGTCGAAACTATGTTTTTTCGATGGTTTTGGATATGTTATGAACGATTTTGGCTCTTCTGGCGCAAATCAATAGTGTCTGAGATAAAACCCCTCCCATCTCAGAATATAGAGATTTACTATAAAAATCAAGGTAAAAAGTAAAAAGTGTCTTAGAATTGTCAAAATTACCAGATCAATTATAAAATTTCCGAGATTCGTTTAGTGGCAATAAGTGAAATAATGCCACTTTTATGTGTAGAATTACTCACTTAACAAAGGTAACGAAGACAGCTGCTGATATTTCTAAATTTATGTATGGGCCTGGAACTAACTGCGCTGACATATTAGCTGGGAAACATTTCTCAATAAAGCTTTTCTACGAAGATCCGGTATTGACATGTATAAAATTGCGTATCGTCATACTGATTGAAAATATGAACAGTATTCCAGCATATAATCAAAGTAATATATATAATAAAAATTACTAATTCAAAGCCAGTAAGCGTTCAGGGGAGGGGAGTGAGAGGCGAGCAGCACCAGAAACCCACAGCCTCCCTACCTCCTGCTGCCTCCCACAGAGATTTGTTTTTTTTATTTGTCAACTTTCGTTTATTTACTCTGGGTTTATTTTCTCCCAGTGATGGACCTTCGCTCGCTGTGACCCTGACAAGTCACTTTTACATTTAACCTACATCCGTCAGGGCCTTTTTTTTTTTTTCAACATTCTGAGCCATTTGCCGAGTTAATATTGCTAACTCATTTTTGTGATGTTAATGACCAGAGATAAACTCCCAGTATATATCAACATAAGATCAAACCTAACTTAGCCCCCAGATAGCGTTAGGGTGTCTAATCTTTAGGTCTTGTCTTATATAATAATCTCTGCCCGCCCTGAATTTATCCTATGATACAAGCACACCAACGACACCACGCTTTCACTACATCACACACACTCACACACACTCACACACACTCACATGATAAAAAAATAGAGAAAGCTCATCAACTAACTTGTCCATGAGACTATAGGTAGAATGGGTTGTTATGTGTAGTAAAATTACGATTAAAACTGACTCCGCAGGTACTGTAATGGTGTCAGGCGTTAACAACAGCCACACGGACACTAACACACCCTCACAACAGACACACGGACACTAACACAACAACAGACACGGACACTAACACACCTCACAACAGCCACACGGACACTAACACACCCTCACAACAGCCACACGGACACTAACACACCTCACAACAGCCACACGGACACTAACACACCCTCACAACAGCCACACGGACACTAACACACCCTCACAACAGCCACACGGACACTAACACACCCTCACAACAGCCACACGGACACTAACACACCCTCACAACATCACCTGTATACATCTAACTCCAGACAAACACACAGTGATCTAATCCCTTACTATGATAAAGAACGGCACTACATTTTTTATATATTCATTGTAAATATTCACTGTTAAGACTAAGAGACCAACAGACACTGGCTTTAATATGTTAGGAAACGTTCGTGGTCAGTAAAACTATTTGACAGAGAATCTTGCCCACCTTTCAGATGTGTAGGTATGAGGAGAACTGCCATGTCTACTGCTGGGGTCTGCCTTTTATATATCCATGTCAAGGTAAAGGAGGTAGACTGAGAGGAGTTTCACATTTATCTCAAGCATTTACAACATGTTGACCCCACCCCCACACAGGACACTATACCACTGTAACCTCGTACCACCCAACCCCCACAGGACACTATACCACTGTAACCTCGTTGTACCCAACCCCCACAGGACACTATACCACTATAACCTCGTGCCACCCAACCCCCACAGGACACTATACCACTATAACCTTGTACCACCAAACCCCCAAAGGACACTATATCACCATAGGCTCGTGCCACCCACCCCCACACAGGACACTATACCACTGTAACCTCGTACCACCCACCCCACAACAGGACACTATACCACCATAGCCTCGTGTCACCCCACCAACAGGACACTATACCACCATAGCCTCGTGCCACCCACCACCTCACAGGACACTATACCACCATAGCCTCACCACCATAGCCTCGTGCCACCCACACAACAGGACACTATACCATAGCCTCGTGCCACCCACCCCACCACAGGACACTATACCACCATAGCCTCGTGCCACCCACCCCACAACAGGACACTATACCACCATAGCCTCGTGCCACCCACCCCACAACAGGACACTACACCATAGCCTCGTGCCACCCACCCCACAACAGGACACTATACCACCATAGCCTAGTGCCACCCCACTCGCTCGTTAGCTCGTTGTTGTACCAGGCAGTCACGCAGTACTGTAGGTGTAGAGGAAGGTTTTGACATCTTGATATGGCTTTCAAGGATTTTAAAGTTCTATTGTTTGTTTGAGAAGTAAAGCAGCATCTAAATGCTTATGTATAATTAATCAGATATATATCACAATAAAACATGTCATTGTATTTTTTATATATTTTTTGTCAAATAAGCCACTGTAAAACATATCAGTGCAGGATCTATAGAAAGGCTAAACAGATTGCAGGCTGAACTGTTCTATGAGTCAGTGTGCCAAACTAACAGTAAAATCATAACGCGGATGTTAGTCTTACTACACAGTTCACCCCTTCACTGAGGGAAGCCACTTTTAAAGCCAGACGATTTTAGTCAGCACAGAGACACGCCTCGTTTACAATGGGTTCAATAATTATTAGCTGCATATTTAAGGTAGTATCAAAGGCCACCTCAAAACCTCTCCTAATAGCTTGTTAATACAGTACGTCACGAGCGAGAGAGTTATTCGCTTCTGTTACCCCACAAACACGTATGAGCTTTGAGTTCCCAAAGTGAGATATATTATCTATTTAGAATCAATATTTATGAAGTAAATATACAAATATGGAGTTATCGTACAAAAAAAACCCGCAGGATGTGAAATATATAAACATTTAAAATTTGGATAATCTTTTTGGGAGACCCTGCACGTGGTGAGTGACAGTGACGTAGGCAAAAATATAAGTTTAATATGTAAATTAAGATATTCACGTTTGACTGTTTATCGTTATGTTTATGCTCTTCTGGTCTTTTTTTTTTTATAGATTTGCCGAAGTGTGAGTCTTGTCCTGGGTAATTGGAGGCATCTTGAGTCATCGTACCTGGTCATGAGTCACTATAACTGGTCATGAGTCACCATACCTGGTCTTGAGTCACCATACCTGGTCATGAGTCACCACAGGTTCTGCTCCTCTGACGAAAAGTTGAAATTTTACTGGATACATAAATAACGTATTCAAGTTACTCCGGCTGCCGGCATATTAAGTGAATCTTGTTCTGGAACACAATACTTGAGCTCCTAAATAATGTTTTGAACAAGGCGTTTACTCTTATATTATTGACCACAAACTAAGCCCCGATATGTGGTTATTCATATACTGTAATTTCGTTTTCTCTGTTCATTATCGAAATGAATCAACAACATTAAGAAAGGTGTTAAATTATTGTGTAAACATTATTACACAATAATTTTCCATACCTTTCTTAATGTTGTGATTCATAATTGGTTATAAGAAATAAAAAGCATATGTCATTTTGAAGATTATTATGCAAGGTTTTAAGCTGTGGGGACTACAGCATATCAGCCGGCTGCCTGCCTGATGAGCTTGATGGTCCAGTAGCCTGGGCCCTCTCCTCATTACTGGAACTTTCTATAACATCTGAACCATGATGTCTATGACCTTTGAACTTTTATAATTCTAAAAAGTCTCGTGATGATCCTGCACCAACGACCAGGTCGGGTAAATGAGTTAAGTATAAGTATTCTATACAATTTCCACCGTTTTATACCTATATATCCCAACCAAATTTCAGTTGTCATCAAAGGTGTGAACCGTCTTGCAGTTTGGAGTAAGGATATTCTCACACCACACGAATAAGAAAACTTCCTGGACGATATTTCACTATTGGTTAAAAAGAACGTAAGATTCTGTATCTTCAAGAGGTTTTCAAGTCAGGTTGGAAGAAGCAGACACCCGAAGGAGCGAGGCGGACACCCCAATGCATGAGAAGGGAGGCTAGTAACAACGACCTTTTAGCGACTCTTTAGGTCTAATAAGAAGAGCAACACTTCTAGTCCAGCAGAAAATTAATGAAATTCTGATTAAGTTTCTAGATTTGGACGTCCAACTTGCAGGAAGAATTTATAATAAATCCCCTTTAATGGAATTATAGAAAAAAACGGGGGGTAGGGGAGGGGTTCTTTTCACATACTTAAGCGAACATGCTGGTCAAGGATTTAAATGCAATTGTTCCAGGACTTTAAATATTTGTTTACAATATATTCTTCCTATCACAGCCTTTACACCCGGCAATCTTAACGTTTTAGCTCACTATTATCATGGTGTGAAAGGCGGCGGTTTTTCCAGATGTAATGGAGTACTGTAGCTCATACGCCGACATCAACATTTGTATCCCACATCACTTAACCCAACTTGTCAGGCAATTCTTATTGTAGCTTTTCCCATGGACGATAATTCATATTTAGCACTAGATTACTTCAAAGTAAGTTACTCTGCCTAAGGTTATGTTTTCGCAGTTACATCATTTAATTAGGAAGTTTTTGCTTGAACAAACTAGTTTCTAGTTAGCAGACTTCAACTATTCACATGACGTATGTAAGGGTGGCAGTAAATATTACGGTCCAATGTACCCAACAGATTCTCAGATAATCCATTTATTTAAAAAAACAAATAAAAGATACAGTATATCACAGACTATATTTTCGAGTATTACATTGTAATAAGGTTCCTAATATTATAAATAGACATAATGCATCAGGGAAGGAAGAACATTACAAACAGCAAGATCAGTAACGGTTTCACTACCCGCCATACGAAGCCTGGTTCTGCTCCTGCTGCGGTTGTTGTTGACCAACGACACCATCTATCCATTCTCGGAAGAACTCCACATCCACATACACACCGGGCACATCCTTCTGGCCGCAGCCGATGCCCCAGGCAGTGATACCGGCGATGTAGTAATTGCCAGTAACGGGATCCTGGCAGGCTAAAGGTCCTCCTCCATCACCCTCACAAGCGTCCTTATTCTCCTCGCCTCCAGCACACATGAACGACTTATCCAGGATGAAATAGCGGCCCAAGCGGGTCTTGCGTAGCAGATTCTGGCAGGTGTTAAACTCTACTGCTGGTACTTCAACCTTCTTCAGGATCACTTGGTACTGACCGCCGTCAAATGCATCCTTACCCCAACCCGTAGCATAGCACCGGGTCCCCTGGGGGGTTATTTGGTCATAGTTGGGAAGACATATTGTGTTTATGTGATACTGGAATTTTATAGGCTCGGTCAGTTCTATCAGAGCAATGTCATGGTGCAAGTTATCGGGATTGAAAAGTGGGTGTATCTCAATGTATTTTACCAATGTGTCGAAGTAATTGAGTACTTCATCATATCTGTCAACCTGATACTCGCCCAGCCTCACGCGTAGGTCACCTGGAGTAAATCCATTAACACAATGAGCAGCAGTGAGCAACCAGCGGTCGCCTATCAGTGAAGCTCCACACTTGTAGGTGAAGTTGGTGAAGAAGATAATGGCCTGCCAGGGGAACTCTGCAAACTCTGCTTGGTAGTAGAGGAGGTCATTGTTTTTTATACGAGTGTCTAGTGCGTAGTTGCGGACTCCGCACTTTTCTGCAGCAGGTAGAGTTGGATCTACTGGCGGTACTGTTGGGTTACGACAACAGACTCCGGGAACCGAGAGTCCACTACCACTGAGGAGACACTCTGACCAGACGCCTTCATTGCCGTAGGGGACGTAGTTGGATGTACTGTCGAGGATTTCTCCCTGACAGAGGATCTCCGGCAGACATACAGAATTACTAGGGCAAACGTCCAGGATAGGCACGGGAGGCGGCGGAGCAGTGTGGCAGCACACGCCCACGATGTTGGGGTTCACGTAGCATGGCTGGAGAGAGAGAGAAAGAGAAACTAGTTAGACATTTGACACCTGGTTCTTTTACCGAAAAGGAACATTGTTTTCAGTTATTCTACAGTTATGTGAACCCGTAATTCCGAGACACTTAACAATACATGAATTGAGATAAATTTCACTGCAGCTTTTTTCATCGTGATTATCTGCACAAGATTAAATAAAGTACTTTTCCTCTAGACAGTTTGCTGCGATACGTGAATTGTGGCAATATTTAACGACAGTAAGTTATTCACACATTCAAGAAATGGTTTAAATATTTAGGACATACTGTACATTTAACTTATTTTCAATGTAATGGATCTATTCTCCGAAATATGTTCGGAACTATACATGTATATTCCTTTTTAACAAAACGCTATTTTTTAACCAACAAACTAATTAGAGTAAAATTTAATTTGTTATCAAGTTCCGTTTATTCATTAATCCATTACATTTTAGAACTTGTACAATCTCAAACGTAGGTTGTATTAGGAGGGACAGTCAGCGACAAAACTGTCTTTCTAGTTTTTATGAATGGATAGCGGAACACTCCAGCCTTCGTCCGTCACGTTCTTCGAGAAACGTTTGAACCAACCCAGAGTTTTCAAGCTATCCTTGTCCGTTTATCATGACAAATCTATAATTCATCATATTAACCACTTCGGGATGTTTCGAACCATGATACACTTCATGTGTAGACAGCTTCTCGTCTCGGATGAATCGTGCTTCCCAGTCAGGTATACCAACTATTCATAATTATGTAGTCGAGAAAAATCTTCGATTCAGTTTTAGTCACCTTTAAAAAATAAGAAAAACCGGAAGATAGTGTTATCTCATCTACAGATCAGCAAGAGGCTAATAGCATTGAGAGTCAAATAACTCTCCTTATGGGTATCTTAAGTAAGGATGAAGAGTTGGTGGTGAAAGTGATCGCTTACCACGTTGGAGGGAGAGTCAAGGTTTACAGCCGCCAAGTCGGGATGGTAGTAGCAAAGATCAGACACCAGGCAGGACTCTCCAACTCCGGGGCAGGTGCTGACGGGCTCGGGGGGCACGCAACACTCACCTACAGCACCGTCGGTTCCCAAGTAACATGCCTACACAAAAATAAATATTTGTTTATACAATGTCTAAAAATTTATTTTATGAATGTTTACATTAACAGTAACTCTTTCAAATAAAACCACACACAGAACTTACCTGGTTTTCCTTATTAGCGTCGACAGCAATAATACCAAGACAAGTGCCTTGTTCAACACAGACTTGGCTGCCGTCGGCGGAGCAAGTGGTGAGGGGCAGTGGGGGTGTACAACACACGCCTGCCACACTTAAGCTCGAGTCTAAATAGCAGGTCTGTTGACAAAATAGATCATATTGACAATGTTGCTTTTTATAAATATTTGTTAACCATTTCATGTAGCGGTATATATACAGACGAGTGAGTGTATAGTCTTTCCGTGGAAGATTTCTGCCTTTAATCTACATACTTCACTAATATTATTCACTAAATTCAACATGTTAAATATTCATGTGCTGGTATTTTTACATTAATAACTTTTATACGAGTCGACTGTGCGCGTCTCCTTTCTCAGACTACAATAAAAAGGCTTATCTTCTGTAGTAAACAATGAGCAACTGTGTATAGTGTATTATCTGCGTTATGTTGGCGATATAATTTTAGTAAATTTATGGAGGAACACTAAACAGTTGTGGGTTCCCGCCAATGTAGGATAATGAACAGGTTGCAAAAGTTATGGTTAAGCTTCTGTACACCATTATCTCTCTTACAACTTCATAGACTAAAAACAACGGTAATATTTTGCAGGCAAGTTATCTTGTACTAGTAAACACTCACCTGGTACTCGTTGTATGGGTTGAGGGTAATAACGCCAAGACAGGTATCCTCATGGACACACACCTGGCTGTCGCCTCCTGGGCACACCTCCAGGGGTGGGGGAGGCTGACAGCACACACCTGTTGTACCGGCATCGTCTAGGATGCATGTCTGGGAAGATGGAGGGGGAGGGGGCCAATGTACTCCTGACAGTCTTCATAACCCTGAACTATCTCTTAATATATTTATAAGATGTTACCGACAATCATGGATGGGCTTTCTATATTTGTTTATTGTACGTTCAAAACCTTCATTATAAACCTGCTTAATCTCTCTCCTCCAGAGTATAGTCTACCACGATGGTTTCTCACTATCACCAAGTCATCATGTTGAGAAGACCAAATGTCCACCATAATCCAAGTCTAATAAGTTAAACTGTTCGAGCTCAAGTTCCATGTAAAATAATTGTGGATGCATCTTGTTATGGATTAAAGGGTTGTGGCAAAGTACTATAACACACAATACTCTAATCATATCAGTCTAATAATTATTAATCTGCCAACGCACACTAACGCCCCCAGGACACCAACTAGAGCCTCCAGCACCTACGTGAAGCATCCTCTGGTCGATGATGCCAACGCCATCGGTGTTGATGGAGCCCTGGGCAGTGCACACATGGTTGGGGACACACACTCGTGTTCCGGGGCACGTCTGCAGAGGCGCGGGGACAGGCGGGGTACAGCACACACCAGCTTCAGCGCCTGGCTCCAAGAAGCAATCCTGCACACAACAGATACGTATAATAGTCATTTTAAGTTTAATTAAAGTTCTTTCATTGTCAGTACAGAGTCTCGTACACGAGTAATGCAATTGTTATAGGTTTCTATGCAAAATAACAGTTCTAAAGGATTTGCAAGTACCTCATGAAACATAAGACCCAGGGGGTCCAGCGACTATTTACATAGTGATGGAGTACTGCCCCCTGTGAGTCAGGATCTTATCCGGGTTTTTTTTCCTGGTAGTAACCAGCAAGAGATAGAAACAAGCGGGGAAGAATAAGAAAAAAATGCACCACAAGAAGCAGCGTCCTAACCTTGTATTTGCCTCTGTGGTCGGTGACGAGAGTGCCCTCACAGGTGTCGTGAGGGAGGCATAAGTCACCCGACGAACACGACGGCAAATTACAGCACACAGCCGGAACCGTCGGGTAGTCAGGGTTAGTGCACTGTTGACAAATTAAATTTAAATTTGCTCCCCCAAGAACTATTTCCAGAAAAAAATATACGTCCGTTATTTTGGCCTCGTCTGATAAGCAGCTACAGCAGACCAACATTGAAATAGCACAACAGTACACGGACATAACACACCACAAGCTACACGTACTGTACATCTATATTGTCTCAAACACTTACCGTGACAGGTCGGATGCGTGGGTTGATAAGGCCCACGCCGGAGGTGTTAATCTCTCCGTCATGGCAAAGGTAAGTGGGCACGCAATCCTGCTGTTCGGCGCAGTACGAGATCAGACCAGCGTCAACTTGTCCCCCACTTTGTTGTCCACCATCAACTCCTCCACCGCCAGAAACCACTTCTACAATGCCAGTACCGTCGCCGTCTCCCCTGCTTTGTTGTTGTAGGATGTGGTCGGGGATACGGCAGCAGATCTTCCCTATGCCTGGGCACGTAACTGCCGTGTTCTGGTTAAGATGAAAGTCATAGGTGTTTTTTTTTAATGAAGTTACAGAACAAAATTAATTGGGATCGAGTTATAAATAGGAATTTGGAAAAGCTAGGATCATTACTCACATCTTCTGGCACCTGCTCAGGTGTACGAGCATTCAGCAGACCAATACCATCGGTGTTGATGATGCCGTCCACACACAGCTCCCACTGTACACAGCCGTGATACTGAAAAACAGAATGCAAGGCTTCTAGTACAGTGCCTGGTGGTGATGTCTGCAGAATCATTGGAAACTTTGTTATCAGCACTACTGCGTCACTTATCCCCAACAGTTATAGGAACTTATAGAAGGTAGAGTTAGCTGTACTAACCTCAGAACAGTCAGGGGACTGCGAGGGAGTGAAGCTGGTGATCAGTTCCGTCTCCGACCCTCCTGCAGTACCCTGTAAAACACGCTGGTTACTCACTCCCATTGTCACTGGTACAGTAAGCGAATAATTAATAGGCCAAGCACAATTAAATTTTTCACCAAATAATTAGCAATGCTTATAAACGCGAAGAGCCACAATTATGTTTATAAAAAAAAAAGCGAAAGCGAGTCATTCATACATCGTCAATGAAGACACCATCTTGCTGCCACCAGAACTCGCCCTGTCCCACCTGCTGCTGCTGCGGCTGATCCACGGAAGCTCCTCCGCCGCTCACGCCAGGGTACTGAGGCCCAGCCCAGACCGTCCCAGCCACCAGCACCACCAGTATGGACACCACCTTGCCAGCTCTCATCTGCCGCCAAACAGGAAACAATATTTTTAAACTCAAGAGTTCAACGGTTGCGCGTTGCTAAACCTAAATACCCAAGATTTTCTTAGCGAATTACCATTATACCATACAGTGTGGTATAGCTTATGTCGTATAAGTTACATTCAATCAAAACAAAAATGAAAAGGCTTCACATAAAAATAGTATAAATTTTAGTCAGAATTAGAGAGCATCTTTAAGTACTAATATAATGATAAAGGTATTTATAAAAATCAAGCTTCAACCAACACGTATAGGACCAAAGGTGTAGTGGCGGTGCATGACGGGGGTAGCAGGGGTTAGGCAGCTTAACCCAGCCCCCATACCTTCACCCTGCACTTGTGTTTTCAAAAATTTAACAAACACAGGTAATTGTTCTTTCCTTAGGCCAACACCCAACCGGTTATTAAGTTTGATGAACATGTGATCACCCACTCGCCTCTTCAAAGAACGGACAGTTGACCTTATTCTTTAACCCGTCACTAAAACCATCACTTGCGTTGGATAATTCACAACCCATTACTAGTTTACTTTCTTGAAGTTTGAGTCATTTGTTAACATGAATATGACAGGTGTGGGCGTGGCAGATCAAACCCATTATTCCTTAACAGCTGTTTGGCTCTATTTATAACACTAGAATTACCGAAAAAGGTTGCAAAATTTACTTATCCGATGACACCCTTCACCGCAGAAGTTAAATTTGTTGAATTTATTACAGCGTAATAAAGTCATTAAACCTGGGCTACTATCCCTCACGACTATAAACTATTTCAATCAAGGCAGAATTCATCTAGGTTACGAGAGCTAAATGCTTATTATGATGCAAGAACACCACTTGTTAAAATGTATAACTGAAATATTCACCACGAAATGTTGATATTAACATAATAATTTCTAAGTACATAAAAACTTTCGTGACATAGACAATCTGTAATGCTTAAGCCCACCTTTCTGTCGCGTAGCTGGGAAGAGAACTGGTGTCATGTACGGCAAGGCAGTGGTTTTTATAGTTGTTGGAAGGGGGGAGGAGAGAGGGGGCTCTGGGCGGAGCTAGTGTGTCGGACCTCCCCGTCTATCCTGGGTTTCCCTGGGTTGAAGTCGCCCGGTTATCGGTGTTGATCATTGTTTATTAAGTTGTAGTGGGTGTCACAGTGACGTGTAAAGCTCCTGAAATGTTTGTTGTAACTGCGAAGAATGACCGAAATATAAAGAAGAGACACATTATTAACACGAAACCAAATTCGCCATGAGCCGTACACGCGGCAGACACAACTTCCTCAAGGTTACCCTTTTTTTTTTTATTCCCTCGCCATAACATACATAAACTTCACTAATATCATTAGCTGTCATTTCAGGCACTTCACACACATCCTCTAGTATACGTAACTTATGTAAATCGAGTTATTATTTTAGAAACAAAGCGGAAAGTAAAAGATAGAAAATTAAAATTAATCTGTTGGTGGTAACTAGTTGCAGGTGGGAGGGACAAGGGAAGATTGGTGTCTGGCCGTGTAAGCGGAAGAGTGATTAATACTTGGAACTGCCGTCATTACCTCAACCACCAACGGAGGAGAAACTAGGAATTTTTTCTTTTTTTGAGTTTCTTTGGTCACTATACTAGCCGCTATCATAGTGGACTAGTATTTACGAGTTTTCTACTGGGAAATCTAAGAACAGGTATATAACTTGTGTAACTGGACAAATTCCTATGGCTTTTTATTACCTAGTGTTAATGTCAGTCACACTCGGAGTTCAGCGATACACGAGGCAGGTATGTTATGATATTTTAAAGTAACACCGTTGCCAATAATTGTTAGGTAGTGATGGTTAATCCCTTCATTAATCCCTTCCATTTCCCTACAGATTATTTTATTTGTCTCAGACGCGACCCTATACACAAGGGGTTACACAGGGGTTAGTGGCGGGACATGTGACAGCCTGGGAAATCCATTACCTCCTGTACACCACTACATTAACACACCTGAACAATGTACACCACTACACCAACACACCTGAACAATGTACACCACTACACCAACACACCTGAACAATGAACACCACTACACCAACACACCTGAACAATGTACACCACTACACCAACACACCTGAACAATGTACACCACTACACCAACACACCTGACTAATGTACACCACTACACCACACCCACTACACCACCAACACACCTGAACAATGTACACCACTACACCAACACACCTGAACAATGTACACCACTACACCAACACACCTGAACAATGTACACCACTACACCAACACACCTGAACAATGTACACCACTACACCAACACACCTGAACAATGTACACCACTACACCAACACACCTGAACAATGTACACCACTACACCAACACACCTGAACAATGTACACCACTACACCAACACACCTGAACAATGTACACCACTACACCAACACACCTGAACAATGTACACCACTACACCAACACACCTGAACAATGTACACCACTACACCAACACACCTGAACAATGTACACCACTACACCAACACACCTGAACAATGTACACCACTACACCAACACACAGAACAATGTACACCACTACACCAACACACCTGAACAATGTACACCACTACACCAACACACCTGAACAATGTACACCACTACACCAACACACCTGAACAATGTACACCACTACACCAACACACCTGAACAATGTACACCACTACACCAACACACCTGAACAATGTACACCACTACACCAACACACCTGAACAATGTACACCACTACACCAACACACCTGAACAATGTACACCACTACACCAACACACCTGAACAATGTACACCACTACACCAACACACCTGAACAATGTACACCACTACACCAACACACCTGACTAATGTACACCACTACACCAGCACCCGACTAAAGTACACCACTGACTGATTAACCAATTTCCTGTTTGTGACGCTATGAATGTATATTTTTGTCAGTTAATTATAAATAGTTATACCTTACCATAGTTGTAATGCGTCTCTCAAACCTGTGCATGACTGTGTTGCTCACTAAAATAAGATGGGGAAGATATAATGTTTTTTACGCTGATGTGTTTTATTTATTTATTTTAGAAGTTTTTAATTGTTTTCACTAATTCCACGACCTGTGTGTGTGTGTGTGTGTGTATGTGTGTTAAGAGAAGGACAAGTCTTTTTTTTTCTTTATTTCCCGCTACTTGTGTATGAACCAGTGAAGCACCGAGCGTGAAACCTAGTTGAGAATGAAGTAATGAAGCACCGAGCATGACGCCAAGTAATGAATGAAGCACTGAGCGTGAAGTCTAATTAAGAATGAAGCACCAAGCATGAAGCGTAGGCTATGAATGAAGCAATGAACCGCTGAGCTTGAAGTCTAGTTATGAATGAAGCAATGAACCGTTGAGCATGAAGCCTAGTTATGAATGAAGCACTGAGCATAAAACCTAGTTATTACATAATTCCGTGCTCCCTCATATCTCTCTCTCTCTCTCTCTCTCTCTCTCTCTCTCTCTCTCTCGTATTTAAGCATCCATGTAATTATAACCTATGTTTACTATGTTAACTCTACCATGCAATAGATGGTTTAAACTTAATATAAAGGTTTTGTGGATGGCATCACAATTTTTTTTATACAATATTTCTTCACACATTTAGAATTTGTTTTTTACCTACAGCTAAATGTTTGAAGATTTTAACGAAAAACCCTTAATTCCACGAAAACTTTGGTAATAACAAGTTTAACTCTATTTGCATCTTTATTGTTATATATCTCTTGAAGAAACAACATTAATACTCCTTGATAAATTACCGAAAGAAAAATACAGCCACTAGTAGGCTTGGTTTGGTTTGGTTAGCTTAAGTTAGGTTAGGTTAAGTTATTTTAGGTTAGGCTAGGTTAAACACTCATTGGGTGTTCCAGTGACAACAACGCAGTGTTTAGATAATATATTTACCAGCGCTTTCATTACCACTCGCTGCCATGTTAATCCTTGTCATAGATTAAGGCCGCCGTAGATGTGTAAATGAGATACAGTATAAAGGGAATGAATATGGGAAGAGATGATAAGGTAATGTTTGTGTGTCAATAAAATAAACATTATCATTTGTAATATTATTTTTCAACACATTTAAGGACCTGTAGAAAAATACTAATTCTAATTCCAATTTTCTTTACTTCAGGGAAACATCGTCAGAAGTTCAACTGGAAGCCGTGCCTCCCCTGTAGAGTTACAAGTGGCGTGTAACTACCTGGGCAAGATTCTTTAGGTCAGTGAACCACACGAGAATAGATGCGGCAGGTACAGTCAACCACAAGAGTCCTGGCGCCTCTCCTCCTGAACCACGAACCCCGAGATTCTGACTCGTGAATCCGAAGACGCTGATGTCTTATTCTGTCCAAAAATGCTTCGGATTCATGAGTCTGAATCTCGGGGTTCGTAGTTCAGGAGGAGAGGCGCCAGGACTCTTGTGGGTAACTGTGTCTAGGTGTTTTCACTGTGCTTGTAGTAGATGGTAAATTACTTGTGTTTATGTATTTGTTTATTACCTATATCGTGTATACTTCTGAGTGGCCCGAGTAATGGCTGAAGAAGTGAGTCGCCACAGATCCCCACAGTCCTCCTATATGGTTGATGATGGTCTTGTATGTGGAGACTCATCAAATTGTTTCTGGATGTTGGTGAGACAGAGGCCAAGCTGAGGCACAGGGAGATGAAAGACTCGAGACTCCCGCTTAGTAAGGTCGAGAGTCTATTCTTATCTCGTTTATGTCTCCCTCTCTCACTACATCATGTTAACACCTGACTTGACCCTGAATTCTGGACATGACTGATAATGCCGTAAAAGTTAGCTACGGTTTTTTTTTTGCGAGGTATTCATTATAGTAAATAACGAAGCCACCAAGTACTTTATTTTCTAAAACGACTCGATCAAAAAAAGTAATAACAGAAAGAGGAGAAGTACCTCGTCATGGTGTGAGAGCGAGTGAGTGTGCATCGTCTGCGACACAGTGTACTTTCCTGTGGTGATCACTCAATAGTTCCTAGAAGAAAGCGTCTTAACAACTGCCATCTAAAGCCAACGTCTCCTCGTCCGCTGGTCACTTCATGGTTGGAGGCTTGGCACTATATTCTTTTAGTAATTATCCTATTTCAGAGCCATCTTATACTGGCACTCTATGGAGAAGACATTTTATTAACTCCGTGGACGAGACATCCCGGTACTCAAACTGTTGTCGTTGTCCTGTACACAGCCCTTTGATAGGACGCCCTGCAATGACTTGGGCATCGGAGGATACAGGATGAAATGGGTGGGGTGGGAGGAGGAGGGACGGATAAGAAGGGGGGATATATATATATATATATATATATATATATATATATATATATATATATATATATATATATATATATATATATATATATATATATATATATATATATATATATATATATATATATATATATGATCTTCCCATGTATATATGTGTATGTCCTTCATATGTATACACGGCCTCGGTACACGGCTCCCCTCCACTGTGTGTCATTACTGTGGTCACAGATGTTAACCTACCAACCAACAAAGAGTTTTATGTAGTCACTTCTTGAACAAAGTCACAGCCGCCTCAAGGTGAACGCTGCAGTCGTTGGCTGGCAGCGTTTGTGGTCTTTGTTGATATATTTTTTTTATGTTTGTATGTACTGCAGGAAGGTTGTCTCATATGACTGTCTCAGGAGCAGGTACTTCTGGAACACTGGTTCATTACATAACGGTCTGGATGTTCAAGTTCTGAAAATGTTTCGCTTTTCAGCAGGTTTTGTCCCATGTGTGCGTGTGTGTGTGTGTGTGTGCGTGCGTGCGTGCGTGCGTGCGTGCGTGTGTGTGTGTGTGTGTGTGTGTGTGTGTGTGTGTGTGTGTGTGTGTGTGTTTATGCGTCTAGCCCTGTATTCAACTTATTGTTCATCGATTTCATAGTCCGCGATAAACACTGCGCCAGGAATGATCGTCTCAAAGTGACCTTTACCATGACGCAAAGATCTTGTCTTAAAGGGACGGGTCTTTTGTGGCCGCCCACCACACGAT